TCAAATTTTATCTCCATAATCTTGTGCAATAATGTCTTTTATTTTATTTTTTCATTTTCAAAATCATTTTTTTTTTCAACTCATTTTCAAAATCATTAACTCACTCTTTATAATCTGCATATAATGAAAGGTAATGCTATTTACACGCCCTTTTTTTACTGACACACCCCGACCGAGGTCAGGGCGTGCTGACTGTCACGCGAAGGTGACGTAACCATGTGCACAGTGTTGAAGCTAATAAAATAATAAAGTAAAAGTATGAATAAATAAAAACTAGCATACATAAGTTAGAAGTAATAAGTGCTAGCGTAAGTGAGACTCTAGTTCAGAGCAGAAAGCCTAAAGCAGTCCAAATTAAAATAGCGTTACAACAGTGCACCCGAAGGTGGACATACGCTGATGATCGTCTGTCAGAAATGCCGGAAAAGCCCTCTGGGAAACCACCAAACCAACTGAATAGCTAGAACCTGGAGGGGCGCAAAACAAAAGCGTGAGTGGGCAAAAACAAAGCTTTTCGAAAAACATTTCAAAAACAAGATTCTAACCCATCGCCGTAAAACCTGTATACTTCCCAGAAAATAAACATAGGTACGTATATATGGATATGCCAATCATGCTCAAGAATATGCCATACCAAATCTCACAATGAAATGCAAGTGCTCAGGTATAAATCACATCAATAATATATAATCTGGCAGCCGGAGTCACCTAACGTGACCTGTACGGCTGCATCTAGAGCTCAAATCTCAATCATAATAACTAAACCTGCCCACGAGTCGGAACCACCTAAAGTGGTCTGTACGACAGGCCTGGGTGTAATACATATAAACGCTCTAGTGCTACGATCACGTGAAGGCTGTGCGAATGATCGCGGGTCACCTACGAGTCGGAACCACCTAAAGTGGTCTGTACGACAAGACTGTGCACCTAACTTGGATCCAAGCTGAGCGTGTGGTGCGGGAGGTGAACAACACGTGAATGACTGTGCCCTACTCTGGGTGGGAGCACTAACACCGAGGGTGCAGGTTATGAGTTCTTTAAGCATCTCTAATCACTATTGAATGCAAATTTTAATTAAAGCTTACCTGGCACTTACCTGTGCATCCACCGCACCCATATATATATATATATATATATATATATAAACATCTAAATGAATATATATAAATAAACATATATGCAACTAGTCATCCATAACAACCAATAATATAAAAGGAATGGCATATAACTAATAACATTTATATAAATTTCTGGGAATTATAAGTATATAGGTATATACGGAAAACCAAAAGCCCACTCACTGGTATGTGGAAGGGTCGTAGCCCCCCTACCTCGAGTGACCACGCTCGTCCTCGGGATACGTCTCACCTATATGCGAAAATACTATAAAAACGTTAATTTTAAAGCACATAACCTTCCTTTCGTAATAACTTCTCATACATTGCTCAAATTGGACAATTAAATATACCAACATGCTCTACACAACCTCAGGATCACACCCAAATTTTTAGAAAAATTTTCCACCGCCGCACGCGCCCCCACGCGCCGGCCAAGGCACGGCCACACGCACCGGCCACGCGCAGGCACGTGCCTGGCACGCTGACGGCGTCAACTGACGCCGTAGGGAATATTCTGTTAGTTCTAACGGATTTCGTCAACGGCGTCAGGAATATTCCGTCAGATTTGACGGAATATTCCGTCTTCTTCCCCGGCTAATCTCCAGTGACGTCACCGGCGCCGGAAAATCCCAAAAACTTCAAACGTTGATATCTCACTCGTTTTTCGTCCAAATTTCATAAAATTACCACCAAAATGAAGCTTAGACCTAGGAGAACAACGATATACCACTTTTAAGGGTTAAAAACTACGAGATCTCACCTGTCCACACAAACCAAATCCGGCCAACTTCGAATACGATGATCCCGACGTCCAATTCCTTCAAACGAACTACTCCGAGCCTCCTTGGGACCTCACCAAGCTATCCACAAGCTTCATTTCCCCTAAAACGTGAGAAATTACGTTTGCATGAATAATACCCCAATTCGGACTTCGTGGAATCGACGTGAAAACGTTGATATTCTTACCTGAAAATGGTATGGTTGCACTCGCACGAGCCTCACGAGCTCGAATATGTGCTTGGTTCCTTCGATCTGTGGGAGTTTGATGGGTTTTGGTGTATGTCTGTACGTATATGGTGAATGGGAAGGGAGAGAGAGACTCGGGACAGAGTCAGAGAAAGGGACAGAGGGTTAGGGAGAGTGAGGGTGCGAGTGTGTGGCCCTACACATGCCAACACAACCCAAAACAACCAATAGACGAAAAAGAAACGAACTAGGGACAAAACTGTCTTTTCACACATGCGTTTTTGATACTTTCGGGACAGGCTGTCACATTTACCCCCACACACCCTTATTAATTTTTTTTCATTGTTCTTTTTCTATTCATTCAATCTGACGGTCGAAAATTGAAAGTGGTGTGTTAGAAGTAAAAATGAGTGTATGAATAACACCACCCTAAAATTAATTGTGCATATCAAACGTGCAATAAGGGTATTTTCGACACCCAAAAAATGTAAAATGGAGAAAATTGAATTTAAGGGGCTAAAGTCATATATATATATATAAAGAAACTCACACAGACATTGTATAATTAGTAGATATCGTTAGAATAATGATAGTGCGCTCGTACTATGATAGTCTTTCTCGATAATGAGAGTATCTTTAGCCACAACAATTGAGTACAAATAACTAGCTCGCTACCTATTCTTTTTGTAATTCCAATTTCCAAGCATGTGAACACGCAATCCCTTACGACGAGGGAAAAAAGTTTGTTGCATTCCCGTGTATATCTTTTTGTATTTATTTGTCACGCAATCTTGTGTATATTTTTTTAGTTACTTCACATTTCCATGTACATTAGATAAAAACCAAAAAATATATAATAAAAAATAACTAAGATAATACCCTTATAGTAGGAAAAATTACAAATAGAGGATACTTTTAATACTTAATTTTAAGTTGAGACAACACTTTTTAATCATTTCAAGGAGAGACAAAATTATAACACCTATGCCATGATTTTTTTAATTTACTTTTGCACTTACGGTTTTGGACGATGATTATTGGGTTTAGTTGGTAAACTTTTGATGGAGTTGTATTGCCATTTGGGAGAGAGAAACATAGAAGCAAATTAATTATGGGTTTGATTCAAATTTTGTGCTTTTCTTTCTAGTTACATATTTAAATCTTTGGACTTAATGGAGAGAATTTCCATTAAGTTACTTAAACATGGCAGCCATGGTTCCGGGTCAGCTAGAAAATCGACTAGAATTTTGGGAACAAGTTTGAAAGGCCAAGCTTTTGGATTCATCGGGCAGGGTGTGAGTGAGGAAGATAGAAAAAAAAAAATTAAAAAAAAAATTTGAAATTTTCAGTTATGTTAATTTTGTTGAAGTAGTTGATGCTGAAAAAAACTGCAATGAAACTCAAAAAACAACGCGGACGTCGTCTAAGTTATAACTCATGGTAGCCTTCACAATACCATGCCTAGATTGCAGACAATTTCGCAACCGTAGTCCCTCTAAGGGTTTTATTTCAACCTCTGTTAACGAAAAAAATTTATCAATAATTTATACAAACTGATTTTGCAAAAATGGTCAAAGACATGTTGAATTGATTGTACAAAAACTAGTCAAAAACAGGTTGAACTCATAAATAAAAAATGGTCGAAGACGGGGTTGAACTGATTCTGCAAATCTAAATGAGGACGGGTTGAACTCATTTTGCAAAAATGGTCAAAGACATGTTGAATTAATGCTGCAAAAATGATTGAGGATGGGTTGAAATGGATTTTACAAAATGGTTGAAAACAGGTTGAATTGATTTGGCAAAAATAGTCGAAGACGGTTTGAACCGATTATGCAAAAAAGGTCGAGGACGGGTTGAACTGACTTTGCAAAAATGGTTGAAGACGGGTTGAACTGATTTTGCATAAATGATCGAAGACGGGTTGAACTGATTCTACATAAATGATCGAGGATGGGTAGAACTGATTGTGCAAAAATGATCGAGGAAGGGTTGAACAGATTCTGAAAAAATAGTCGAAGACGGGTTGAACTTTGCAAAAATGGTCGAAGACAAGTTGAACTATGCAAAAATGGTCAAAGACGAGTTGAACTGATTTTGCAAAAATGGTTGAAGACGTGTTAAACTGATTCTGCAAAAATGGTCAAAGAAAGGTTGAACTGATTCTGCAAAAATTGTCGAAGACGAGTTGAACTATGCAAAAATGTTCGAAGAAATGTTGAATTGATTATGCAAAAATGGTCGAAGATAGGTTGAACTGATTATGCACAAATGATCGAGGACGGGTTGAACGGATTCTGGAAAAATCATCGAAGACGGGTTGAATTGATTCTACAAAAATTGATCGAAGACGGTTTGAACTGATTTTGCAAAAATAATCGATGACAGGTTGAACTAATTCTAGTAATAAACAATACAAATTGATTCTACATATAATTTCAAAACTGATTCTGCAGAAATAATCGATGATGAGTTGAGCTTTGATATATATTAATTTGGTTGGAGTTGTAAGGGTTGGATTCTATTAACAACCCTAAAGTCATAGGGATATGACTGGTATTTTAACACATTATTTTAATGTTTTTAGGTTGAACTTTAGTTGTTCTTATACTTTTGTCTCTCTTTAATATGTTTAAAATTTAGTAAAATTTCTTGAAATATAATAAAAAATTTTGTCTGTATATAAAGCTCCCAAAATAACCATTTACATACATAACAATTTTTCGATTTTTTTCATTAATAAAAAGTAAAAAATTTGGGCAGCATAGAGAGAGACTAAGCTGTGCAGAGACAAAGTTGGCATGGTCCATGAGGTAGACAGGACATGTGATGTAACAACGGGAGAATGAGAGCCGCAGCATGAATTCACAGAGAGCCCCTGGTTTCTGCTGTCGGCTTTCGGCTTTCGGCTTTTGGCTTTTGGCTTTTGGCTTTGGCGTTTGAGGTTTGGATTTGCCCACAAACAATTCCATGCCAACAACATTACACAGGAAATTAAAGAAAACAAACCAACATGTGATTTGGTTTTCAACCGCAGTCACCCAGTCAGAAAATTCGGGATTAAGCGATATTGATGACCCACAATATTTTTGTTACTTTTTTCTTTCTTTTATTTATTCAACAAAATTGGGAGGCCAACACCAAATCTTCAATCACTACCCAACATCCATTTTCTCACACCAAAAAGGAAAACAGATGCAAACCAGAGGAATTGCAACCAAAACAAAAGATTTTCGGACAAGAAGAAAGAAGGATAAGCCTGCTGATTTTTGATACAACCCCAATAAGTGCTTTTGGCGTCTGGCTTTTCAGTTTCTAGTTTTCTGAGGAAAAGGTTCGAAATTTAATTCTGGGTTCATGTGTTTTTCCTGTATTTCTTTTGGGTTGTTGAGATTTTAGTAGTTGGATTGAAATTTGAAAAGAAATGGTTGTTTTGGATTGATCAGCTTAAGAAAGGTTTTAGCTTTTTCTTTGTTTGTTTATGTTGAACAGTTAAAGAATTAAACATTTGAGAAAGTTCTATGTACTAAAAATACAAATAATCAGTTATGTATGGAGATGTATCTTGTTTGATGTTCTATAATTCTTGAGCAACCAATTGGACCCATGCGAAAATTGTAGCTGGAATTTGTTGGGTTGTTGACTTCTTGTATTGTGGCACTTATTTGTTGAGATTGCCATACGAATGGCCTTTTGACATTTGTGTTGTTGAAAATTGTTTATTTTCGAGTACGTGTTTTCGGAGATTCTTCATTGGCTCACTGGATGTGGAATCCCGTATGAATCAAAGCTGGCCACATTGAAGTTATTCAGTGCTACTATTTTGTTGAGGATTTCATGGGATATACTTCTTGGAGTCTCAGTCATTTGATTGGTTTCTGGTTTTATGTTTCTGTATTTTGTTAAGTTGGGGGGGATCACTATATTTTATTTGTCGGTTTTTTGGAAATGATAAGCCGGAAGGGCAAAAGATAAAAGAATCTGAAGTATGAATGTGTAGTTTTCCCTTTTGGTTGTCAATTGCCACTTTCTAACTGAGCTGATAATTCCAGGACGCTGCATTGGTTTTATGGAAAGCCATGAACTACTTATTTCCCATCATTAGCTGGAGTGAAGAAAAATGGCTTTCTACCTGCCCCGTCTGAGATCCTGATTTCTGCTTGATTTCCCATATGTCTGATGGAGAAATAGTTGAGATGCAGCTGCATGTGGTAGGGATAGTATCGTAGCTTCTGGTATTAGAAATTTATAACTACTTCTTTAGTTGGTGTTGGGGGGGGGGGGGGGGGTGGTGGAGACTGAGGCAAGTAATGTCTGCGGTAGCACGGAAATGGTTGGGCAACTTGGAACCATTTGGTAACTCAGAACACAGAAATGCAGTTTGATTTTTATGCATGACTGCAACTGAGAAAGCAGGAAAAGAAAACACAACATAAAAGAAGTCAAGTTAAATAAAGCACTTCACCTTGAAATTTTTGAAGATGGGATTGCCTCAACTGTCTTCTAGCGGCATTGCCGAGGAAGTGGCAGCATCACTGTGCACATTTATGCAACCTCAACCTAGAGTTGCTGGCATGAGCACTTGTGATTTAAGTGGGATGCATGGAGCAAACCTGGGAAATCATATACAGGTGGATTTCACATGCTCTTCTTTTGGAGAATTCCATAGGAAATCCATCACGGAGATTCCAAATAAACCAGATTTTTCTAATTCTCATAAAGATAGTAGTAGATCAAGCATGCATGCATTGAAGATTAACTCTTCAGAACAAAACAACTGGTTAAGTCAGAGAAGTGGGCAGAATATTCAGACACCTGTTCCTAGGGTTGTTGGTTTTGAACCAAGAATATTAGATTCTCCTCTTAATTCATTTAATGGAGACCAATACTCTTCAAGTGCGGTGACTGTCACAGGGGACACAACTGAGACTGCTGGGTCAGCACTCAGGAAGCGGTTATTGTCTCCTTTGAATGGAATGCTTCTCCAGGATCAGTGTAATGGTGATTCTCTAGAGATTGTGGACAGGGTTCATAAGAGTGGCTCCTGGGGTGGCAACGGTAGTTCTAATGATCCCATGTTGCAAGAGCATAAGAAAGCTCATCTTGGCAACTCCAGTTGTTGCAATTCTACAATCTGGTCTGCATCATGTTCCCCGAAGTGGAAGAGATCACCGGATCACAACTGCAATACAAACTCTTCTTTTGTATTTGATGGTCCTTTGCTTGAAAACAAGAAGTCACGATCTCCGAATCAATTCATCATCATCCGGACTTGATTACTCTAGAGAAACAATTAAGGTGAGGTCACAATCAAGTGCTATAGACATATCTTCAAGTAAAGTTGTGTTGCCTACACTTTCTTTATCTCCTCTTGGTCCTAAGTTTCCTGAAAGAGTTAAACCTGGAGAATCATGCAGGGTTCGTACACCAAAGTTGGATGATAACAATATAACCCTGAAGGACATAGAACAGTCACTTAATGGAACGATCGCAGGCATTTCCTCATCCTGGAAAGAGGACGCTTTTAGGTGGCTAAGGAAATCATCGGAAGACGTTGATGTTCTGCAGGAAAAGTTTGACCTCTTTAGTTCTGAGAGTACTACTTCTGGGATGGGGCAGCACTGGAGTCAGGACTTGAAACCTAATCCTAAATGTGTTAAATTAGTACGATCACTGACTGGATTGCCTGTTAGAAGGTCATTGGTTGGATCATTTGAGGAATCCCTGTTGTCTGGTCGATTATTATCAACAAAGGTTAGTCAGGTTCGCTTCCATCTGAACAGTAATGTTATATTTATTGAGTTCCATAGTGTATCAATTTTTGTTATTGAATTTATTTCGTGTTTGAAACTTCCCATTTGCAGAGAATTGATGGTTTTCTTGCTGTTCTGAATGTCACTGGGGGGAATTTCTCGCCAAAACCTCAGAAACTTCCATTTGCAGTGACCAGTGTGGATGGAGATAACTATCTACTATATTATTCATCAATTGGTCTTGCTGAAAGTACGACACCAAACAAGTATGGAAGCCCCAGGATGAAGAGGAGCCTTAGCATGGATGATTCATGGGCAGACAAGAACCGTCTGAGAATACCTATGAAAGGCCGTATACAACTGGTAATTAGAATATTAATCCAAATATAATGAAGTATCAGAAACACCAGATGGTCTCAGACTCTCAGTTCTATCCACAGAAATGTATTGAATTTAGGAACTTTTTAGAATAACAGGAGATCTTAATATTCTTGATTGGAGCTGCTATTTGCACTTCAGAAAAGTCATCATGCACTCCTTCATAGTGGAAAAGATAAAGAGGGGTGGATGCATGACGACTTTTTTGGAGTGTTACTAACAATTCCCTTCTTGATATGCTAATTACAATTTATGTTATCATCAATAGTTGTTTGTGTGGCTGTGGATGTGTCACTCTCATGGGCTTAAGCTGTGGAATTTGATTTCGAGGAAAAAATAACGTTGGATGGTGAATTATTTCTAACAAAATGAATGATAAGAATATGGATGCATGGATTGTCTGCCTTGAAATCTTGGATGATCATATTCATACTGATTATGTCTATCAAATAATTCCTAGTTATACATATCGAATGACATCTGGTCGTAGTCAGACCAAGAGATGGTTGGTTGTACACTCATGAATGTGAATCGTTTATGGCAGGTTCTCAGCAATCCAGAGAAGACACCTATTCACACCTTCTTCTGTAATTATGATTTGAATGACATGCCAGCTGGAACCAAGGTAGTCAGGAAGTATAGGGGAATCGTTATATATCAGTTTTTACAATTCTTGTGCATGATAAATGTGTTAGTCATGGTTTGAAGTTAAACCTGTCTCGAGTGAATATGATTTGAAGTTAAACCTGTCTCGAGTGAATCTGCACTTTGATATGAAGTTAAACCTGTCTCGAGTGAATATGATTTGAAGTTAAACCTGTATCGAGTGAATATGATTTGAAGTTAAACCTGTCTCGAGTGAATCTGCACTTTGATATGGAATTGGATATGGCAAGGTTTTTCCAACAGGTATTACCTGTTATAGGATATAAATAATGTTCCTTAATAGGGCCTTGCGTGACTTGTAAAAGCATTTGTAGTCATATAATTAGGAAATATAATGTCTCTTGACACTGCTTGACTTCATTGAAGTAGTCAGATATGAGTGCTACCACTTGACTGTGTATGAGGAAATATACAGAGGTAGGGAAAGCACAAAAATGCAAGTGCGTGAATCAAATTAGAATTTAGTTAGCAAAAGGGTTTGAAGGGGTTCAGGTGACTTCTAGGCCAATTTAGGTCAGTCCAAAGCTCAGACGGGTAATACGACTATACGATCCCAACCTGAGTCCATCCTGAATGCATTTTTTCCTGGAATATCCAAACCCAGTATGCCTTAACTAACCCAACCATTATATGTTTATATAGGTGGTAAAATCTCGCTAAGCTGATAACATAAATCTGTCATCATTTGTTGTAAAATCAAGAAGCTACCATCTATATATACCGTTGTATATGAGCTGGTTTGAAATGGCTCAAGCTGCATATTTTGTGAACAGGCTAGCCAAGGCATGTTAGTCCATAGCTCAAACTGAGGATTTTGTGGCTGAACATGTCGGTGTATAATTTAAAAAAATTCATGTTGTTGCTTACGCGTATTATATATAAGCATAAATAAAGACTTTCTTCTAGCTTAATCTTTGGCTTCTATAGAATTTTACATGGAATATGCTTGCTTCAGTTGTTAGGTTTTTCTTTGACTGAGATCTTATGTATAAGTCATTTTTTTTTTTCATATCAAATACAGACGTTTTTGCGCCAAAAGATCACTCTAGCCTCATCTGATACAGCCTCTAAGGCCGGGAATGGAAGACATGCAGATCCTGCTAAAGAAAATGATGCCAAACCATCTTCGATCCTAGATGCTGCAAATTCTTTGCAGCATAGCGACAATGGTGCGGATTCAGACAAGTTTAAGGATGTAGTTAATCAGTACCAAAGAGAGGGAGAACGCACTAAGGCCTGTTATGACAGTGAACCCAGTGATTGTAGCCTTTGTACGTCTGAAAAGATCAGTGAGATTAGTAAAAGTAGTTCTGTGCGTAGCCCTTCAAAGACGAGCAAGAAAACTGCTGGTGCTGGTGCTGGTGCTGGCGTTCTGCGTTATGCTCTTCACCTTCGTTTCTCATGCCTATTTCCTAAGAAATGTTCGAGGTCAGTCCAGAGATGCAAGTTAGATCCATCATCTGGACAAGCGACAAATAGTATCGACATTGAAGGGGAGAGGCGCTTCTACTTGTATAATGATTTGAGGGTCGTGTTCCCTCAACGCCAGACAGATGCTGATGAGGGCAAGGTACATACACCACACCTTATATATTGATTTGCATTATAGATGTTTTCCATGTTGGTGTGCATGTAATCTTGCATGATTCGTATTTATCCGCGGAAGTAAATAGAACAATGTAGTATTCAACTACGCGTAACTTGTCTGTGTTTTGGTCTCGATAAGTTTATAAATCTTAGTTCTTCATTTTGTTTCCAGGCATGAAACAGTCTTGAGACCCTTATCGTAATCCAACTACGCATATTGTTCGTTTTGCAGTTACATGTGGAATATCACTTTCCTTCCGATCCGAAATACTTTGATATCAGCAACTAAAGGCATAGGAATTCTCTGCTAAAATAGATAGCTGTAAATTCAGTTCAAATCTCCCAGTCATCTTTGGGGCAATTCCCCATTCAATCTGTAAATAATTGTAATTATCAATAATTAGTCGATTAAATATGTTCTAAATGCTTGTAGATATATGATCACTTTGATAGACACTTCCATCTAGTCCTTAACTCCTTTTTTCATATATTATTTCTTTTCATAAGCAATGTAAGCAAAAAGGGGAGTCGTTGAATGCAGGATAGCCGGCGCACAGGTGAAGGGTCTTAACCAACTGGAATACAAACCAACCTCGTGAGTCCGTAACTCGTCGATGAGGCTAAAGCTTCGAGTTTTCGTTTGGAATTTGAACTAGGCACCCTGAGAGCAATTTGTTTCAAGTTTGTGGAATTATATCAGCTAATTCAGCCATGGCTGGTACTTACGAAGAAGGGCACTGCACAGACTTCCCTACAATGTAGTAAATTTCAAAAGAACAGTAAAAAGAAGATTCCAATCCGAATGAATTTCACCTTTCACACATCATTCTTCCCCTCCAACCACCCACCAAACTGTAACTTTATTTTATTTTTCCATGTAAAAAGGGGTTATTTTAAGAAAAGAATCGAGATTAGTGTCATCTGACAGGGTCAGTTAATCCTAGTTCGTATACGAAGCAATAAAGAAGTAGAGAATGAGGATCGAACTTAGGACTTTTAGCTAGAAAGGTTTTTGTTACCTCTTAGCTTAAGCTGTCAAGGAATGAGACAACAATTTATATTAACTTTACAAGTAGCAAAATAATGCGATTCGATTTGTGCAGTTGTAATGCGATAACTTTAAACTGAAGATGTGAGAGCAAAGCTTGTGGTTTTAGAGGGTGGCGTTGAAAGAAAGAGAGGTGGTTGCTTCCATGCACAGCGATTCCAAGCAGCTCATATATGAGGATTCTAATTAAGCTGAAAGAAAGTGTGAGCGTCCCAACAAATCTGATAGTAATAGTATTTGATACCAACAATGAGTTAGGAAATACCGCTCGATATCTGAAAATCACAATCTGACACATGTAGTTAGAACTCATTGAAATCGCAAATAGAAAATTAAACGCACCGAAATCAGATTGTGATTCGTTTGCAATGATAAATACCGTAAAATTATGCGGTGTGTGCTGTACTTAAGTGAACAGGTGCTACTATCAGCAACTCAATGAAAGATAAAAGAACCGTCTTCTTCTTTGTCTACAATTATAAGAAGTGGTCCAGCTACGAGAAAATAAGCAAAATAATTGCTTACTAAATTGGAGAAAATGCGTTGTTAAAAATAACAAAGTACAAATTTGAATGTAGGAAGTAAAAAAAAAGTGCTACAAATTGAGGAGTCTCATAGTTTTTTCATAAAGAGTTAATTACCCCTGAGAATCAAAATGAAGTATTGATTGGACTTTCTTTGCTAATAGACCGACAAAAGAGAAAGGGAAGTGTTATTGGCACTCCAAAAATCTCATTCTACACTCCTCACAAGTGTATTTTTCTTTCCAAATATAGAAAGTTTGGAGTGTATAATGAGATTTTTGGAGTGCCAATAACAATTCCCAAGAGAAATTATAAAATAATGTCGTGAGGTCGAGAGACCCCCGAAATATCACAAAAATAACAATTGCTTACACGAAGATGGAGCTTGCTCAAAATAGACCGGACCCAAAGAATGAGTGAGGCTCAGGTTGGCCAACTTATCAGGGTGGAGCTTGCTATTTCATTTTAATGAAAGTAAATTAGGCTTGGTTATGTTTGGTTCGGTTTAAGCAATTTCAAACAGGAATTCAATCAGCTCAGCTCAAGATTATACTTTTTTAAGTGTAAAAACTTATTGAACAGCCAAATTGATTTGATTTGGCCATTTTGAAAATTTTAGACGGTTGTTCTGCCCTCTGCTAATTTTGGTATTACTTCAAAACCCACCTAATTTCTTGAGGTGGAAAGTCAAAATTGCACCTTGATAGTGAAATCTAGCCAGCAAATCTACCTCGTGAAATCTAGCCAGCAAATCTACCTCCCTAGTGCTTTACACACCCTATATATGTTGGATTCTACAACACTGATTGCATAGAGTGTAGTAAGATTTATGGTCGAATATGATTGGATCTTTTACCTCCATCCTGAAGTTGGATACTATATCGGTACGTTAGATGTTAATTTATACCAGATTTTGAAATAAATGTGTCTCAAGTGCTTGCAGAAGGATATACACAAGATAACCAATATATAGTGGCAAAGAGGGGAAAAAAAGAAGAGAGAAATGCTAAGAAGACAGAGACTATCTTAAAGTGATATTCTTTATAGATTTTCTGCTACCTCATGTTTTTCACGCAATATTTTATAATATTGATTCAAAAATTGTGCTAAAAACATAAAGTGACGGAGAGTCATAATTTTAAGAGAATCTCTTTAGTATTTATCAAAGGAAGATTGCTTGACAAAGATGTGAAGTTCGAACCACATATTAAAGGAGTACACTTATCTCAGGCCATGTTTGTTCCATCAAATGCATAATGACATCTATAAATCTTAGCTACTCTTAACAATGGTTACATTTCCATTAGATATTGCTTATTTTTCGTTTTTGTTAGTTTGAATTTTTATATTTAGAAAGCCATAAGCTAGACGAGTCTGCAGAAGGTAGAAAGAGGTGAACATAGATCACTTCCCTATAATGAATGTATTAGCCATAAAGGAATAAGTTTATTTATGAATTATACATCATCTACCTTTAAGTTGGACAAATATCTTCATTTATATCTTAAACATTTTAAATACAGTGAGTTATTCAATCCAATCTAATCATAGCCTAGTCCCACAGAAAGACAAGCCCGTGATATTTATGTTGTCAAATCACTCCAGTCTAACAACATAAGCATACATTTGCTTCGCAACATAAAGCTGATAGAGAACATTACCCTAGACGAGCATGTGATAAGATTCATTATATAGTATTATCCAATATTTTAAGCAATCTAGTCTAAATCTAAACCTAGATACTAAATGAGCTCATACAAAGACAAACCAATTGTTTTTACACTACAATAGTCTCACAACATAAGCATACATTTGCCCCACATCATAAAAATAGAGAACACTACCCTAATGGAGCAGGTGATAGAATTCATCATATAGTATTATTCAATCCAATCAAATTTTAAAGACCAAACACTTGTTAAAAGATGAGCCCATAGTATTTATATTATCATACCACAACAGTTTAACAACATAATTAAGCATAAATTTGCTTAACAATGCAACTCTGATGAGAAAACGTTACCCTAATGAATTACGTGGTAGGATTCATATAGCATTATCCAACCCCTTAAGCAATTTATCATTCGACATGAATACATATATTTTGGTTCCGTCTAGTCTCTATAATGTAACATGCCAAACATGGCCTTGTACATAGATAATATATGACAAGGTCAGTTAATCCTAGTTTGTATACGACGCAATAAAGAAGTAGAGAATAAGGATCGAACTTAGGACTTTTAGTTGAAAAGATTTTTGTTACCTCTTAGCTTAAGCTGTTAAGGAATGAGTCAACAATTTATATTAAGTTTACAAGCGCAAAACAATGCAATTCGATTTGTGAAGTGGTAATGCGATAACTTTAAACTGAAGATGTGAGAGCAAAGTTGTGGTTTTAGAGGGTGGCGTTGAAAGAAAGAGAGAGAGGTGGTTGCTTCCATGCACAGCGATTCCAAGCAGCTCTTATATGAGGATTCTAATTAAGCTGAAAGAAACTGTGAAGCATCCCAACAAATCTGATAGTAATGGTATTTGGTAACAACAATGATTTAGGAAATACTATTTGGTATCTGAAAATCACAATCTGACACATGTAGTTAGAAATCATGGAAATTGCAAATAGAAAATTATACGCACCCAAATCAGATTGTGATTCGTTTGCAACGATAAATACCGTAAAATTATGTGGTGTGTGCTAGAACATATATGCGTGTACTTAAGTGAACAGGTGCTGCTATCTGCAACTCAATGAAAGATAAAAGAACCGTCTTCTTCTTTGTCTACAATTATAAGTGGTCCAGCTACAAGAAAATAAGCAAAATATTGCTTACTAAATTGGAGAAAATGCTTTGTTAAAAATAAGGAATTACAAATTTGAATTTAGGAAGTAAATAAAAAGTGCTACAAATTGAGGAGTCTCATAGTTTGTTCATAAAGAGTTAATTACCCCTGAGAATCAAAATGAAGTATTGATTGGACTTTCTTTGCTAATAGACCGACAAAAGAGAAATTATAAAATAATGTCGTGAGGTCAAGAGACTTCAGAAATATCACAAAAATAACAATTGCTTATAAAAAAATGGAGCTTGCTCAAAATAGATCGGACCCAATGAATGAGTGAGGCTCAGGTTGGCCAACTTATCGGGATGGAGCTTGCAATTTCATTTTAATGAAAGTAAATTAGGCTTAGTTATGTTTGGTTCGGTTAGGCAATTTCAAATAGGAATTCAGTCAGCTCAGCTTAAGATTATACTTTTTTAAGTGTAAAAACTTATTGAACCGCCAAATTGATTTGATTTGGCCATTTTGAAAAATTCAGACGGTTGTTATGTCCTCCGCTAATTTTGGTATTACTTCAAAACCCACCTAATTTCTTGAGGTGGAAAGTGAAAATTGCACCTTGATAGTGAAACCTAGCCAGCAAATCTACCTCCCTAGTGCTTTACACACCCTATATATGTTGGATTCTATAACACTGATTGCATATAGTGTAGTAAGATTTATGGTCTAATATGATTGGATCTTTTACCTCCATCCTGAAGTTGGATACTATATCGGTACGTTAGATGTTAATTTATACCAGATTTTGAAATAAATGTGTCTCAAGTGCTTGCAGAAGGATATACACAACATAACCAATATATAGTGGCAAAGAGGGGAAAAAAGGAAGAGAGAAATGCTAAGATGACATAGACTCTCTCAAAAAGAGATTCTTCATAGATTTTCTGCTACCTTATGTTTTTGACACAATATTTTATAATGTTGGCTCGGAAATTGTGCTAAAAACATAAAGTGATGGAGAGTCATACTTTTAAGATAATATCTTTAGTATTTATCAAAGGAAGATTGCTTGACAAAGATGTGAAGTTTGAAGCACATATTAAGGGAGTGCACTTACCTCACGCCATGTTTGTTCCATCAAATGAATAATGACATCTATAAATCTTAGCTACTCTTAACAATAATTACGTTTCCATTAGATATTGCTTATTTTTCGTTTTTGTTGGTTTGAATTTTTATATTTAGACTTCGGATATAATGGCAGAAAAAATGTTCTTTTGTTAGATACAAAGTTCATTTGGTGTTTAGGATAGAATTAGATTAGATAAAAAGGTATGTGTGATGGTCGTCATAAATTATTTTTTCTTTCCAAGGGGATTAGAACGTAGGCAAATTATCCGTAATTTTTTTTTTTTGGTCATTATATTGAACAAATCAAAGAAAAATAAAAAGCCATAAGCTAGACGAGTCTGCAGAAGGTAGAAAGAGGTGAACATAGATCACTTCCCTATAATGAATGTATTAGCCATAAAGGAATAAGTTTATCTATGAATTATACATCATCTACTTTTAAGTTGGACAATTATCTTCAAAAATTCCTTAAACATTTTAAATACAGGAAGTTATTCAATCCAATCTAATCATAGCCTAGTCCCACAGAAAGACAAGCCCATAGTATTTATATTGTCAAATGACTACAGTCTAACAACATAAGCATACATTTGCTTCGCAACATAAAGCTGATAGAGAACATTACCCTATACGAGCATGTGATAAGATTCATTATTTAGTGTTATCCAATATTTTAAGCAATCTAGTCTAAATCTAAACCTAGACACTAAATGAGCTCATACAAAGACAAACCAATTGTTTTTACATTACAACAGTCTCACAACATAAACATACATTTGCCCCACAACAGAAAAATAGAGAACACTACCCTAATGGAGCAGGTGATAGAATTCATCATATAGTATTATTCAATCCAATCAAATTTTAAACAACAAACACTTGTTAAAAGATGAGCCCATAGTATTTATATTATCATACCACAACAGTTTAACAACATAATTAAGCATAAATTTGCTTAACAATGTAACTCTGATGAGAAAACGTTACCCTAATGAATTACGTGGTGGGATTCATATAGCATTATCCAACCCCTTAAGCAATTTATTATTCGAGATGAATACATATATTTTGGTTCCGTCTAGTCTCTATAATGCAACATGCCAAACATGGGCCTCGTACATAGATAAATATGATTGGAGTGGCCACCACAACCTAGTAACTTAAAAAACCATGCATGGCATTGAATATGGTTAGGGGGTCGTATCCTGAGTCCCAAAACGTGTCGTGTCGACCTCTTTTTATTTATATTGGTTGCAGCTTTTGAGAAAACTCCCATCCTGAAAGCATCCTTTTATCTGAAAGGTTGGAAAGTTGATCAAACTTACATGATTTCCACCGATTTAAAGACAAAAATGTTTGGCTATCCAAATCTAGGCTGCAGTAAATTTTGCAAGAGAAATCGTGGTTTTCCAGTAAAGGGTTTGTAACTTTTTACTGAACGAGTGGAAAAAATCGATAGACAAGTTATGGGTTCAAAGCTTTAAGTTGTACATATGAAGTAAATGCCATGTTTGAACAAAAGGTAAACTTTTGAATTGGTGTGTAAATATGGGATTGAGATTTCACAGCGAGATTGTTTTTGTCAAACTAATGTTATAGGACAAATACTTATGTTGTCAAACTTTGAATATAAGTCACAACATAGCTAATAGTTTAATAACGTGTCTAACAGTATAAACATCTTATGTTGTCAAATATAAGTATACACAAATACTTATGTTGTTAGACTTTGAACATAGGTCACACGTATGGATAAAAACAACATGTATAAATAACTTAGATTCATAATCTAACAACATAAACATTTTATTGGTAAAAAAAATTTCTTGATCTACCTTCTTGGTTGGTAGTAACTGTGAAACCATACATGGAAGAAGGGGAATAAATTACTACTCCAATTCAACGTATGAGATCCTGAATTACAATCACTGATAATTTGTTTTTTAGCTCAGCACTAAGTTAAAAGCAGTAACCATTCACATGACATCAACATGGTTGGCAGATGGCTGTAATTCTCTCTTCAAAAACTGACAAACTTTTCTGAACTTCTCAATGCTCTAGGAGCATCATCACTCACTCCAAGGGTAATTGAGTTAAATTAACTCGGTAATAATAAAAACTAAGTCGTAAATTTAGGTGAAGTCAAGTTGGTTAGAGCAATATATTTTACCATTTGCTTTTAAGTTTGAATCTCTCTCCCTCCGTATCTTAAATGTATTTAGCGTAATTATCTTATTGTTTGTAAAAAATAAATAATCAAAACTAGATAACATTATGCAAATATCAAACCAAATTTCAAGAGAATCGCTGGGTTTAAGTTTAACAATGTAATTGTCAAATAATAGTTTAAATGGTTAAGAATGTTTATTCTTTCACTAGAAGTCCTGTGTTTGAATCTCATTTTTTCTTAATATCCTTGCATTAAAACTAAGACAAACCATGTAATTGTCCATGCCAAAATTCTGCAAATGTGATAAAATGGAAACCCAAAAATTTAATTTACGGTTGAGTTGACAAGTCACACCAACACCATAACTCTCCACTCTCGAAAGATTCCTATCACCATTTTCTTGTATAAATGTTCCTCTTATCTCCACACACTACTCAATATCTGCCCCTTATCCTTTCCCTTCAGCTCTTATTTTCTGTTCCTTGTTTTCTGCAACCCAAGAACTTTTCACCATGGCCAGCACAGGCTCCAAGTTCCAGCAAAACCCACCTCTGAAAACCCAAAAGATTTTTCTTGGAGTCCAAATCTTCATGAGAACTGCCACAATGACTGCTACATTGGCTGCAACTTGGGTGATGGTCACCAACAAGCAGAGCAGTCAGATTATTGGCATAGAATTTGATGCTCGATATTATTATTCACCTACCTTCAAGTAAGATGAGAAATAAGACCAATTTTATTTTGCCCTACAAAAGAAAAAATAATTTTTTTCCCATTTTGTTTAATTAATTTTCATATATATTATGTATTTTTGCAGGTTCTTTGCTTATGCAAATGCTGTTGTGAGTGCCTTCTGCTTGCTCTCCTTGTTCCTCGTTTTCCTTATCCATCGCCATGGCTCGAATCCTACCAACTACTTCATCTTGTTCCTACACGATTTGGTATGCCAATTCGGTTTTTATTTTCCACCCATAATTTTCCATATTACCAATAATTATTGGTCTAGCCGAGTTCTTTGGGTTTTTTTTTTTCTTTTCAAAAAGAGATCTTAAGTTCGAATCCTTTAGTTCGGACCACAATATCTTGTTCCTACACAATTTGGTATGCCAGCTCGGCTTTACGAGCATAGAATTATTGTATATCAACGAACTATTAGTCTAGCAGGGATTTTTTTTTTCTTTTTTTAAAGATGTCTCAAGTTCGAATCTTTCTTTCGTCTGACAGGTAATGCTGTGTTTGCTGATGGCTGGATGCTCAGCTGCAACTGCAATAGGGTACGTGGGGCAATATGGGAATAGCCACTCGGGCTGGGCGCCAATTTGTGATCACTTTGGGAAGTTCTGCAAAAGAGGGACTGATTCTGTGGTTCTCTCTTACTTGTCTCTCGTTTTCTTGCTCATGCTCACCATCAGCTCTGCAACCAAGTCGAGAAAGATTCAGGTTTAGATCTTCTAATTAAGTTGTTGTTGTTGTAAAGGAAGTTGAGCGTGATGGAGGTAGTTGCAATGTGATATATAAGAAAATGTTGAGCTAGAGCCGTCCCAATGCAAACTGAGGCCTAAGAGAGTTTAATGACGCACTCCTAATTTAATATCTTAACTTAATATATACATTTTTTTAATAAATTAGTGAGACTATATATCAAACTTTCTAATTCATTTTACCATCTAGGGTATGAAAAAAATATGAGGTTTGTTTCAAACTGAGGACTATGGTACATATCTTTGGTCGCCTTGCCCTTGGGACAACTCTGGTTGAGCTTGAGTCCTCTTTTTATCTAACCCTCTCCACTAACACGGGTTTATCAAAAACACTTCCTTCGTGAGTTGAATCAGTTGGTAAATACAGTATTCATCAATTTAACCAAAATTCGAACTCTCTATTTCATAAATCAGAGTAATTTAAAATATCATCTTTAAAAATTATAAAAAAAACACTTCAACTCACATTTGGTTTCAAGAACCCTGTTTAAAAAAAAAATAAATAAAAAAACAAAGATGCGTTAGTTTCAAAAGTAAGTATGGAATCAATCAAATTTGTAAATTGCACATAAACGACAATATCATGAGTGCCGTTTCGAGGACGCGGAGGCAAGCTAACAGTTCCACATCGGTCAGAAGACTTCTTTCGTTAGGCTTTATATAGCACTCACCTGCAAATAAGTTTTTCCCTTCGGGGTCATCCAATAAAATTAGAACGATATAGAGAAGATTAGCATGGTTCCTATGCAAGATGACATGCATAAATCGAGAAATGGTCTAAATTATTTTTTCCTTTATGAGTTTCTATCTTCTTTTCCTTCAACTATTATTGCATCTGGTGTTTATACGTACGGTGTTTTTCTTCTTTTCTATAGTTTAATTCATGTGTCTCATATTTTCAAGTTTTGTTTTTTTTCTTTTGACTATTATTGCATATGATACTTAACAGTTTATATTTCTTCTTTCTATAGTTTAATTCAAAAGTGTTTCTGTTAATGTTAACAAAGGGAATACACTAGTTAAGTAAGAAATATATTCGGATTTAACTGTAGAATTCATTTTTTGAATTTACTTCGTATTAACATTGCCAATCTTATAATTTTCATTTGGAACTAGATACAATAAGAGCTCGTTTTGAAAATACTTTTTTAAAAATCACTTATGGTCAGAAGCATTTTTAGTATTTGGAGTACACCAATTTTTTAAGAAAAATGCAAGTGCTTCTTAAAAAAGGAGTTGACATGCTCCATGAAATAAGCATGTAACAGATGCTACTTACAAGAAACACTTTTACAAAAAAATACCAAGTGACACCTAAAAAAACAATTCAAGTGCTCCGTTCATGAAGCCACAACAAGTGCTACTTTCATAATCACTTGATTTTCAACCCAGAAACGCGTTGACCTTTTTTGACTAAAACACTATTAGAAACACTTTTGGTGATTTGAAAGCACAAAATAACAATGATCAAGCCTTATTCCGTTAAGTGAGTCAGTTGTATGAATACTAGAACGTCATTATGGTCGATTTTGACGCCATATCTTCTGTTAGTTTCTAATACTCCATTTAATTATTTTAAAAGTACTTCCAGACAGATGTTAAATGATTGGCATTTATTTGGTAGGGTGTCCTCTAGATTTTTCAGGGGACTATTAAAGAGGTTGCACTTATCATTAGCAAAGTATATTTATCCATTTGGAACACAGAGCCGAATACACATATAGATACATATGGGCCGCAACATCTATTTATAGGCTCCGAACTACCGCAACCCAAACTCCATTAATATCGGCAATGTCTATCAGCTCCGGGCAATGTCTCTCAACTCCCTTCCCATATCTTTTTTCTTTTTCTTGATAAATAAAATACATTGAAGAGAAAAGATAATACAAACAAGCATAAAAAAGCAGTAATAACGTACGCTAATTATCCTTGGAAATATTTCATTTTCGTAAAATAAACTCATTAGCAGCTGAATGGATGATTTTCAAAGAACTCAACCTAAGTCTAATAATGGACTAAATTGAGTTGAGAACCACAATGGTGGGTTGACATGAGTTCTTGAATTTACAATTGTTCTGCTCTTCCATACATAATCCACAGTAGCTGCAACAAGACAAAACTTCAACACTATCGACGATAAAGATTTTCCCTTCCAACGGCTAGCAACCCACATGACAAAAAAAAAGGCCAAGAGGGTCTTAGCCAAGAAACACCACACTTGAACAACACCGAAAACCAAATACCATCAGCAAAAGGACAATAATAAAAAGGGGTGGCAATGGGACATTGTAGTACCAAAGCAGATGATGAAAATCAAAGCATATCTATTACAATTTATGTAAGTCAATTAGTTATGTTAGTATTCACGTCATTTCACAATATTAGAATATTGTTTGTCAAAAATAATAAAAAAAAATCATATAGAAGTAGCTTGTTTTGGATTAAGTGAGAATATTACACCTTTTCATCACTAAAAATCACACTTTGACCTTATTTTCTCCAAAGATTCCATTAGAGAGTATAATAATAATAATAATAATAATAATAATAATAATAATAATAAGGTGAAGAATGTAATGATGGGCCACCTAAACCCATTAGCTGTCTTATTTCATTTCCAATTAGGAACAATCCAACAAAGCAAACAGAATCATAGTCATTTTCTTTCCAAATTAGTTCATTCCGACTGTTTGTATTACACTTAACGGGTTTTAATAGTTACCCATTGGGTTGATTTGCCACCTGTAATTGCGTGTGTGTATATATATGGCAAATAATGGTTAGGAGATTTGCCAACACAGGAGTGCAAAATTGGGTGACCGATAGAACAAAAGCACATGCTTCATTAGCAAAACCACATGCTTCTTAACCACAAAACTCCATACACCTGTTAAACCATCAAATTAGTTGAAAGAATTGAGATTATAACTTGTACAGCAATCCGATGAACGCTACTCAATTACAAAATCAATCCCGAGAGATATTCTTAGCTATCTCTGGTTGTATATCTCCTCGTATCTAGCTCCTTATCACGCCAGAAAGACAGACACGACGGAATATACAACCCATTATATAGATAGGCTGTCTCCAACGTGCAGCCAAGAGCCAAAAAGATTTGACACTTGCAAAAGACCAGAGACGAGTGCAGAAGATGATTAGGGTGATAGTGGGTAAGGGGGCATACCAGTTTACAAGAAACTGGCATTACAGGGGAGGAACATAATAGAGACAGTAATGCAAATAATCCAGTAATAGGGTCCTAGCACATGGTTCTGGCCCCACTCTTGATTATTATATATAATTATCAATTGTCCTCCAGGTCCAAAACTTTCATCAAATTAATCAGGGATTAGGTAAACAGGGACCTAACTGCAAATTTCTTCATTTTTGTGAATTGACCAATACTCAGAAATTTGAGAAGAGAAATGATAAGAACTCTCTGTGTGCTTCCTATCGCTTCATGTTTTTGTACAATCTTTTAAAATATTAGTATGAGAATTGACGTTAAACCGTGACAGAAAATTCACCCTTACAAATCCTTGGTAGGTAGTGATTTTCGCACTCCGGTTTTCCTTCCACCTTCTCCCTTTTCTTTTATCCCTCGATCTAAACAAGGCTCAATCTTTACTAACTATGGTTGGCTAGATTGTTAAGTCAATGAAGTCGCAAAAAGTTTGCTACACATGTATGAACTCGCAATAAGGCAGCAACATCAATCATTGGCTTTTTGTTGAGAAAACAAAGAACGTTTATCCAGTTAGGTCACCAAAACTAGATACAGTGAAGCTAATTTAATTTTTCTACCATGAAGGAAGAGCAATGATAAACAAGGTTGGAAAAAAGACAGGAAAAACAAAGCCAAAACTAAAAGTAATCACAAGTTTTGTACATACAGATCAATGAATCATCTTCGTGTACGTCTATGCTCCGAAATTCGGCATTCGTCAAGTCTTCCATCGTCAAGATCTGGCAAAAACACCCCAAATCTTACCCCGACCGAGGCTTTCCAAGAGCTTCTTAGACCCCTCTACTTCCATGTCGACGAGTTTCTGTAAATGTAGACACGCACCGGCAGCAATCATTTGCTTCCTACGCTTGTTTGAATGTGCAAGCGCTGCCAATAAGGCAACAGGGTATTTCTTATCCAAATTCTGAATTGATGGGTCCAAAAGCTGAACTGAACTCACAATTCCACCCTCATGTTTCTTAAAAATCTTTCGATTACCAGCGTATAAAATCAACTCCGACAAGGCCTTCGCAGCTGATTCTTTCTCCTCAATGGCTTTACCATCCAACATTTTGATTAATGGGTCAATGCAGCCACACTCACCCATCTCCTTTCGAGTTTTTGAGCAAAACCCGAGTTCATAAGCGGCCTTAGCTGCTGCAATTCTCACTCCTAACACACCACAACTCAACACCCCAACAAGCCTAGCTACAAACCCGTCAGAAACAAGCACTTCAGCAATCGGAGAGCACGAAGCTAAGTGCCTCAAGAACTCGACCGCAACCTCGAGGTTTCGATTGTTATTGTTCCAGCCAGAGTCCCAGAAATTCTTCAAACACTCAATCCCACCTTCCCTAACAACCAAAAGCTTCAAACTTTCACTCCCAGAAACCAAATGACACAAACACCCAATCGCATTCTCTTGAGCCAAAGCCGTCCCCGAACTCACAAGCCCCAAAAGCACACCAACCCCATTTTCCTCCAAGAAATTCTCTTGAGTCTCGGCAAACCCAGCCAAATTTCTCAGCACACCCGCCGCCGAAGCCTGCGAGCCGGGCGTGCCGCCCTGGCAAATGTCCAAGAGTGACGAAATCCCACCTCTAGACCCAATTGCCCTCGCGTTATCCTTCGAAATGCTCAGAGCTTGAAGTGCCAAACAAGCCTTCTCCTTTGCGAACCCACTTCCCGAATCGAGCACCCGCATCAGGTGATTCAACAGCGACAAACCCTCCGCAATCAAGACGTGCTTGCCGCTCTCCACCATCGACACTATCGATATCGCGAAAACGGCATTTTCCTTGGCTTCGATTGAGCTCGAATCGAGTAACCGCACGAGCACCGGAATGATCCCCTGCGCCACGGCGATCATCACGTGCTTGTCGTCTTCCTGCAGAAGCCCTAAAAGCGCCTCCATCGCCGAGTTCCTCGACTCGGCGGTTCCTATTTGGAGCCGAGTCACCAGGTTCCGGCACTCGGCCCGAACCGTCTCCCTCTTAGAGGAGGAGCTGCTGACGGACGAGACAGCGGAGTCCAGGAGGACACCGCTCTTGATCAAAATCTCGGCGTCGGCAACGTGGCGGTCAAGGCGGGCCAGGATCGAGTCGACGTCGCTCTGGGTGCGGAGCTTGCCGGCGGAGAGATTGGCGGTCTGGCATTTGAGGGAGAGCGAAACGGCGTCGCTGAGGGTTTGAGAGACGGAGAGGAGGAGGTGGAGGGAGATAGGGTGGGAGGTGGAGGTTGGGAGGTCGGCTAAGTCGACAAGCTGGGCCCGGAGCTCCGAGAGCTTGTCCCGGATTAAGGCCCATTTACCTTTGAAAGTTTGGATGAGTGGGATTTGGTCGTAGAGTGACGAGATGAGCTGGGTCGACGATGCGATTGGATCGTTTTCTGGTTCTTTCATGGCTTCTGCTGGCTTTCTGTAGAGAGAGAAAGTGAGGAGAGAGAGAGTCTGGGGGTTTGCCTTTTAGGGTTTACAGAGGAGAGAGAGAGAGGGAAATGTTGGAGTAAATGACGACGAGGAGGGGAGGTCATGGCGAAGGAGAAGAAATAGTGGGAGG